AGAAGTTGGCAGACCCGGGCAGGCAGTCAGGGGCATCGTCAATCCGTGGCAGTGGGTGGACGTCCTTGCGCGTGACCTTAAGTGACGGTAGTCGACGCAGAAGCACCAGCTGCCATCCTTCTTTTTTACTAGAACGACTGGTGAGGCCCATGGACTGTAAGATGGTTCAATGACGTCTTTTGTGAGCATTTCAGCAACTTCATGTTGGATGACTTGTCACTATGCATGTGACACGTGATAAGGATGTCGTCTGATTGGGTTGGCATCTCTTGTGTTGATCCTGTGAGTAACAACTGACGTCTGACTTAAAGGGCTGTCGCCAAAGTCGAAGATGTCCCTGAAGGATGCCAATATATGCCGGAGATCAGCTGCCTGTGCTGGAACGAGGTCTGGCATGATCATCTTGTCAAATTTGGCATCAGTGGAGCTCTGTGAAGAGGATGCACTAACGGGCAAAGGAGCGTCTGCAATGAATGCAGAAACAGAATGTTCACTGATGGAAGAGACGTTGGCTAGAGTCATGCCATCTGGAACAACTTGAGCGCACCAGCTGAAGTTCAGTATCGGTAGCGACGCCACATTATTCGTAATCGTCAACAGAGTATGAGGAAGGGCAACATTTCTGTCTAATAACACGTCCAAAATCGGTGCCAGCACCTAATCACTGTCGGGTACTGGAGGAAAAGACCTCATGGTTACATAGGTAACGGATCGGGGCGCTATGTGAACGTACTCGACAGAACACAAATGTGGTTGAGGTGTAGTTGGAGTGTCGTAGCAATAAGGTAGGTCAAGCTGAAGCAAGCCTATTCCACAGTCAATAAAGGCAGAGTGCATGGCAAGAAATTCCATGCCCAGGATGAGTTCATGAGAGCACTTCTTGAGCACGGCAAAAAGCACAGTTGGGGAGCGGTCAGCAACACTAACATGTGCAGAGCGCATCCCAAGCACAGGAAAAGTTCCACCGTCAGCGTCAAGATGAGCGGCACTGTGGGCGGTGTTGAAAACTTTTTAAGGCGGCGGCGAAGCTCCGAGTTCATCACCGAAATGTGGGACCCTGTGTCTACAAGGGCAACAAAAAGTACATCGTCTACTTTAACATCTATGAGGTTGCGTCGTGTCGGCATAGTCAGAGGATTTGGCTGGCAAATGGTCGATGCAGCATCACCTCTGGGAGCTGCATCGTCTAGTTTTCACGAGCCAGATGTGCAGTTGGCGAGGGAGGACGGCGAAATTGGGGTGAGCGTGACGATGGGCGACGAGACAGCGCTGAGCGGGACTGGTGGCCGGGAGGGGATGGAGACCGACAACGCACCGCCAACGAACCGTCACTACTGGCTGGCCGAGGCGACTCGTGGCGAGTTCCGAAGTGGCCATCATCTGCCTCTGCGCGACGGCTGTAGCCATAGGAAGGCTGATGCCAATACCACCTGCTATTGCAATAGCGGGCCACGTGACCAACACGATGGCAGTTAAAGCAAATGGGCCGGTCATCAGCAGTCTTCCACTCAGCGGGATTGCGAGAGGGCGCTGGGGGCCTCTGGCCTTGGGCGTAGGAAACTGGTGGGCGACGGTCAGTCGGTCGGGAGGAGGCGGTGGTGCACAGATTTCAGGCCAACGTTCGAAAGCTCTTGGCGAATGGTGGCATGCACTAAAGGCATCATTTGGGAGCTGGTTTCACAGGCATGAAAGAAAGTTGAAGCGGGAGACATAGCTTCAAGTTCTCAACGGATGATCTTCGTGACGTGCTTTGCAGTCAGCGGTGCCTGTGGTACAAACATGTCTTCGCACGACCATATTGCTGCGGTGTTGGGAAGTCGAGCGAACGGATGGGAAATACGTCTGCTCTTGGCGGCCTCAAAACGCTGGCACTCTTGGATAATGGCATCTACTGTGTCACAGTCCTTGCAATTGAGCAAATTGAACGTGTCATCAGCAATGCCTTTTAATATGTGCACTACCTTTTCGGACTCCTCCATGCCGTCGTCTGCTTTGCGGCAAAGGGTGAGCACGTCCTGTATGTAAGACAGGTATGACTCCGATGACGTTTGAGCGCGAGATGCCAGCTCTTTCTTGACCGCTGTCTTCCTGCCTGTCGATTTGCCGAACAGTGCACACGTATTTTCTTTGCACGCGTCCCAGCTGCCAATTTCTCCTTTGTGGTTTTCAAACCACACTTTGACTGTCCCCTTCAGGTAAAATAGGATGTTCACCAGCATGAGCGTTTCGTTCCAGTGATAATTCCTGCTTGTTTGCTCGTACAGCGGCAACTATTCTTCAATGTTGACATTGTCGGTCTCGCAGAACGTGCCAGGGTCTCTCAGCTGGGGCAAAACAACTGTCGTCGTTGGGGTGGCCGCTGCGGGAGCTGAAGTTGGACCCTCTCATGCCATCGTGGAAGAAACCAAGCGTCGGCCGCTGCGTAGCTCTGTTTTGTTACCCCGCACCACCACCAAAATGTCACGGGTTGAGAGTATTCAGAGGGTAGAAATATATTTACAGATTGTACATGGAGTACACAGTGTCCTTGAACCAAGATGGCGGAGTGGTAGCAACCACACGAGTTTTTGTTCAGTCGTCATCTTCGTCTCCTTTATGGTGCATTCGTTGATGTTAATGATGTCTTGTATCAGTATGTCACTTATGACTCGGTGCAGGACTGCAGTTGACACATGAGTTTTTTCTGTGCCAAACGGCGACGTCCAATGGGCTTCGGAAATAGGTTGATGAGTTTGTGTTTGCAAATATCTCAACTCCTGATTTCTTCCTCGTTGTTGGAAAACCAGACTTTGGCCGTGCCCTCAAGGTAAAATAGAATATTGGTCAACGTGAGCATCGGGTCCCAGTTGTATAGTGCGCTCACCCGTTCATATAGCTGAAGCCACTTTTCAACATCCTCGTCGTTGTTGCCAAAAAAAAGGTGCCCAAAAAGGATATTGCGCAGTTGGACGAGGCACGCTTGGGGAAGGTACCGACTGGTCCTCATTCCTGTCATGATCAGCCATAGTGGAGGCAGCCAAGGAACGTCCACTGCAAAGAATCGTCGTGGATGTTGACTCTGGGAGGACCCGCACTCTCGACCAAATGTTACGGGGAAAAATCGTCTGAGAAATATGTTTACTATCAATAAAACAAGGAGGCATACAAAATTGAACCCAGTCTCCACGAGAGCTCAGACATCGTCTTCTTCCCTATCGAGTTTCGAGTTATCTGTGGCACCTCGTAGCAATATCATTCACGATGTGTTTCAAGTACGAACTAAAGACAGGATATTGCTATCATGTTCAACTCTTAAAGGCAAAGCTTAAAGGGACACTGAAGAGGTTTTGAATTCGCAAATTTATTGCGAATTCGGTACCCACGATCTCTTACAAAATGTCTGTGGAGGTCTTTTTTGCAAGGTTCGATTAAACAACGGTGCTGTAAGCAAGCAAACTTTTGACCGAGAGAATGCCTTCCGGCACGCACGTGCGCAGGAGGAGAGCACGGGAGAGATAGAGACGTCGGAAGGTGACGTCACCGTCAGGGTTGAGCCGCCACCCAGAGGGCAACTTTGCAGCAAACCACGTGCGTCGCTCAGTCAGCTCAGCTTGTTTACTCCACGGTTGTGCCTTGTTTCTGCTGTGATCTGCTGCCTGGCAAAGCATCAGTTCTGCCAGTTCGTAGGTTTTTTTGCCATTCAATCGTCCTCTTCTTCTGATTAGAGATTTTGACATCCTACATTCACTAGTTGTGTTTGTACAACGTTGAAGTGGACTCGTGATTCTGAGTTACTGCGCAGCATATAGCTGCTGCAGCACTTACGACTGCGATGAAGTCGCTTTTCACAAGTTTCTTCAGGATCAGAGGATTGCTGCAAAATGGGCCGCTGCAGTTAAAAGAAAATACTTCAAACCTACGAGATGAAGCGCGCTGTGGCAATCGCGAATCTGCCAAATTTCGAGCCAGCAGGAGCACTCATCTTCTTTCCCCATTTGCACGCAGTGCGTACATGAGCTCCTATGGCGATAAAACGTGTACAAGCATATCAGGACACATAATCGAAATCAGGTATTCTACACAACGGTCGCATGCTTCTAGCGTAGCTAATATGCCGTGTACATTTTAACACACCAGCACTGTAGTACTGGGCAGAATTCAAAAAAAAAAGCAATGGTATTATAAAAAACAGAACTGCAATATATGGACCTAACTATTCTTGGGCAAATCTCAGCGCAGTTCAGAGCATATACTACACTGCGGCAAGAGCGACACTCGTCTTGATTTTTTTTTCTGGTGGTAGCATACTGACTCATCGTGTGCGTCTTGCCTGCTGCGAAGTATGGTACTGACTGCATTAACAACGCTGCACTCTGAGCTGTTAAATTTATGAACAGCTGATGTTTCTGCACGCATTCCGCGTCCATAATGCAGACCATGCCAATACGCGGCTAAAAGTGAGTGTCGATTCTGCTGTTTCTTATCGAATTTGATATCCACTGATAAACGTATCATGTGTAACAGTTTACTACAGTGAAATTAAGCACTGGCATGCACCTTATACGTACCAGTCTACGTTTGCGGCGCGGGTAAAGAGGGCTGGTTGAGACTCGCTTTTCTGTGCCGCTTCAGCCGTCGCCGTTGAAGTGGCGGCCAGCTCGAACATGTACAGATGTACAGCAAACTCGATCCGACTTTCACAGTTGGCCATACTTACAGCAACTACCCGATTACAATAAATAAACACAGCATTGATTGCCAATGAGCGCAGTCAGCTGTCCTCGCCTTCCTGACAGTGACGTCGTGGAGCTTTGACCAATCGCAGCGGCAGCAAGACTTGAGATGGCAGCGGCTTCTTTTTGGCAAAATAAAGTTATTTGCATTGGTTCACGCAAATTTTGGACTTGATTTCTGAGTTTTTCGCATGAAATTTTGTACTGTAACACCATAACGAGTTTTTTTTAAATATTTAAAGTGCTTCAGTATCTCTTCAAGGATTCATCAATATTTTTTTTGGACAGTGGGCCTGGCCGCCAACTTGGCACATGAGGCTGTGTTCTGGAACCAGGGCGAGATCTGTTGCGCTGCCACTCGGACTTACGTACATGCCGATGTGTATGACAAGTTTGTGGCCAAGGCCGTGGAACTAGCCAAGAAAAAAGTGGTCGGCGACCCATTCGACGAGCGGTGCACCCAAGGTGCTCAGGTCTGATAAAGCTTATTGGCATAGGCTGTCGCGGAGGTTTATTGTCAATCATACGCAGATTGATGGCACTCAGCTGGACCGTATCCTTGGCTACATCGAGCAGGGCCAAAAGGAGGGCGCCAAGCTACGCTGTGGTGGTCGCCGGCTCGGCACACGTGGATTCTTCGTTCAGCCGACTGTTTTCTCGGACGTTGAGGACCATATGACAATCGCCAGGTAGTTTTTACAGCAAAAGCTGTTATAAGTTCATAATAAGGATGTCTTAGTCATACGTCGCCGCCAGTGTTCGTAACCGATATCAGTAACGTAGCTTTCTAGTTACGTAGTTAGTTCATAGTGCAGTCGAATCTTATTAATTCGAACTCAAAGGGGCACGAAAATTTGTTGGAATTAAAAGAAGTTCGAATAATCAAAGCTAAGTTAAACGGAGGGCTCCCCATGCAGTGGCACATGTGCATTGAGCTAACACACGAGGGGGAAGTTTCAGAAGACTTGCATTTATTCACAAATCACAGGACATTCGTCATTAATTCAATTAATCAATGATGCGTGTCTGCACGTTTGCCTTGCGGCGAGTCAATCAATTTTGCATGTAGCTTGCAAAGCATGTCTGCTTCGGCTTCAGCATTATCCTGGCAAGAGAAGTTGCACGCGGCCATGTCCGTAGCTGACACTATCTGAAGACGATGGCAACAATGATGCACTTCCTTTCTCGTCACGTGCTGGCCACGCTGCGGCTTTGGCCAAAGCCGCAGGGTGGCCAGCACGTGACGAAAGAGGAGGTGCATCTTCATACGAAGAAAAGCAAATCGGCATTTTTTTCTTGCTCTCATCGCGCACGTCGTTAAAAAAAGAAGGATTACGTGGCGGGAAGGGGAAAAAAAGAAAAGCGCGGCACCGGCGCGTAAGAGGGAGCCACACTCTGCGACAGCTTTTTTTTTTTTCTCTCTGTCTCTTTGTGCGCAGTGTTGGAAGGAGATGGGGTCTTTACGTGGCAGGGGAGGAAAAGGGAGAAGCATGGTACAGGCGCGTCGCAGATCGGCATTTGAGAGAGCACAAACATTCCACCGCAGCTTTTTCTTTCTTTTTCCTTTCGCCTATTGGAATACACATAACTTTGACGAAACCTCATCGTGAGTTCGAATTAAGCGTGTTTGAATTAATGAGATTCGACTGTAATAGGGAAAAAGAACCAGGGAAAAACCACACCAAAACAGCAAGGAAGAACAACCACGCAGGACAAGCGCTGAACTTACAACTGAATGTTTATTGAAGAATTGCACACACCGCCACACATGAAACAGCGCATGCGTAAAAAAGGGCCATCTGAGTTACATCGGCACCTAACCGTTCATATCATCAAACGTGTGAAGCAATGATAAAATTTAACGCGTGGCTTACCAGCTACCTATGAACGCAAACACTTTCTCTGTGAGGAAAACTGAGGGTTCGCTTGCACATGACAATATGTCCCGCTTCTTGATTGCAAAGGCCTCACAGATTTCACGCAATCGCAGAAACTTGCCTTTGCATTGCAAAAGGTGTGGCTGTGTCCCAGATTTCAAATTGGCAATCGTAATTGGCAAAGGTAGAAACAAGATTGAATGTTGCCACCTGTGACCACTGCGGCAACGAAAAAACTGTCGGGCATATCTGTTGTGACTGCCCACAGTGCACAACGACTACATCTTTGGAACGCGCTCAACAAATTATATAACAAACCTCTGACGGAAGAAAGAATTTTACATTATCATCAAGACACAACGTCAAAGAAGAAAACCTTGCAAGTGCTACTGCGCTTGGTATGATTGGTAGGCCTCTTTGAACGATTGTAGCCAGAATGCTTTTCCTATCTGTGTGTTTTGGTTTCTATTGCATGCACATGCATTTAATTTTCTTTCTCTTCCTACACCCTCTTTCTTGACCGCAATCCCCATACTCCTGCACTGGGTAGCGAACCGGATGCTCATATCTGGCTAACCTCCCAGCTTTCTTTTTCATGTCTCTTTCTTGGTTGAGTCACTTGCACGTTGAGATCTTCACGGACTTGTCGGATTGTTGATTTAAAATCGTGCTTTCTAAGCCTGCAACTGTTGTCACATTGGCTAGCCTGCCAAACTTCAGTGTGATACGCCTCCTCTTGAGCTGTTCAAAAGTTCAGCAGTGCCGAATGACATCGGCGATAGAAGTTGGGGTGTCTTTCGCGATGAGGAATCTGTAAACGTCTTCAGCGATTCATTTCAGATGTCCTAGTTTGTATTCCTCGGACATTCTAGAGTCCACCATCTTGCACCGCTACGGGACCACATGTATTTGGCACCTGCTGACAGACAGACAGATTGTGCTGTGATCCTCACCTACTATTTGATTAGAAATTCATAAATAGGGGGTGGGAGCTGGAGCTGACGTTCCAACAAGAACTTCTCTTTTTCAAGGCTGCACCTGATTTTCGTTTCCAGAAAACGTTCTTAGAATTCGTCTAATACAAGCGGAGTAAAAAAAGATTTGCCACACGCTGCAATTGCTTTCTCTCTTCTCTCATCCTGGTGAAAGTGCTGGAAGCTCAACAAGAGACGTGGCAATGAAAATTATCTTTGTTATTTATGAAGCAAAAAGGATGAAATTTGGCATGCAGATGTCGTTTGTTGTGCTGACACAGGGTGTCTGCTAACCTGGAAAATCCGGAAAAGTCAGGGAATTTGCACCCTTCTGGAAAAGTCATGGGAAGGTCAGGGAATTTCTGAAAAACCCTGGCCAGGTAATGGATATTGACAGCAGTTCTGTGTGGCCGTCACAAAAATCAGCATTACTATCGATCAAAGCCTAAAAAGTCGCTCTTACATCTGCAAATGCAGTCAGCTGCTAGAAGAGGTGTCAAAAAAAAAAGCTGTGCATAATTGTTGCTTTTTAGTATAAACGTGAAAGGATACACTTACCCAAGGAACACTGAATTTACTGACGTTTTGGCGCCCAATATAGAAGAGAGCCTTACAATAAAAGCCATAACAAAGGCACTTGTCTGTGGCTTATGTTTCGTAGCCAAGCCATTCCAGGACTCAAAACGTCAAATCAAATGGCGGTGCCTTGGCGGCATGCTTGGCGGCTTCAGCGGACTTGGTTGCGACGCATCATGCAGGAATATTCTGACAGTTGCGATGTATCAGGGGGGTTCGGAATATGTGTAATTCTATGAGAGCTAAGTCGGGACTGATGAAAGACAACGTAACAGCTGAGAAAATGCACCAGTGAGGAACGTAACAGGGGGGTTCCACTATATATCACACGGCCTATCTGACTTCCGAACCATGACATTACTCACGTTTGTAAATTAATGCATGTTTGTCTTGGCCACGGTTTTGGCTTGGCTTGAAGGTCGTCTGGTTTGTCAGGCTACTCATGCCTTTTATTATTATTATTATTATTATTATTATTATTATTATTATTATTATTATTATTATTATTATTGGTGATGCGACAGCAACTGTCTTCAGCTATACAGTTGTTGCCTCGTGTCTCATGGGTAGCACTTGTGTAACTTCAGCTAAATTTCTCATTTCCCTTTCGTGAGTCTGTGTAAATGAATCTGCAATTATTTTTAGCATGACCTCCACAGAAGAGTATGTAAATCAAGGTAACGTGTCAACATCCATGATTCATATGTGGACTCAACGTAGCTGCTGCGCCTTGACAGATGCCTTCTTGACACAACATATTCAAACATTGACACTTTAAACGCCGTCCCCAACTTTCATTTCAGTCGTCCAAGGACTTTCGCTGCGCTTCAAGTGTCAAAGCCCAGAGACACAAAATACGTACAAGCATGCATGTGCTCGTCAGAAAAAGAAAGAAAATTTTGCAGTATGACTCTGTTCTTGCAACGATGTAGTTACTCCTTGTCAAGGCAAGGTACACAGAATACGGGAGTAGTAGTTATTAATTTTTTTTTTACAGAAAAGTATATTATAGAGGTCCGCAAATTAGACGGGGACGCAAATCAATAGTAAATACAGAAATCAAGGTCTAATCAAATCTAATCCAATCCACATTCTAAATAGTGGAGTCAATATATACAGCATTTCAGGTCAATCTAATTCAATTCAATCCAATCCACATCCTAAGCGGTGTGGGCTACAGCCAGAATAGTAAACTAGACTATACTTCAGTGGCAGAACCAGCCAGGCTCCTGTGTCCTCATTTTTTACGGATGCCGCGAAATGGCACCACTTCTACGTTTCCTAGCGGCTTTGACTGCGATGTTGAACTATCGCAGGCTCATTCAAACTTTCATCTGTGGTTACTTTTAAACATTTTGAGAGCATCTGGTAAATATGTTTACTTATTTTATATGGAGCCCCTGATTTTTATTAGCACTCAAGGGCTTGTTTCCAGCGTACAGAGTTTTATTAGGCAGACGTGGGGGTCATGGAATTTGCTTTTAATCATGGAAAACCTGGAAAATTCAGGGAATTTAGAAATATCAAATTGGTAGACACCCTTTGACATCATAACTGAAGTCGGTTTTGAGCTAGTATAACTTTTGAGTTACAACACTTGATAGACTCTCATAGTCACCCCAAAATAATTAGCTAATTAAATATAAGTTCGTCAAAATTTTTGCATAACGATATATACAAGGATCTATCTTGTGCTGTAATGCTATTGGTTTATTTTTAGTACTTAAGTAAGCACACAAATTTTTTTTCCGAAATGTCCTGGCCTTTTAAAAAAGCCAATTACAAGTCTGTATGATGTGCACACAAATATGGTGCTCACCATATTTGGTGAGCACCAGCTTTATGGTGCTCACCAATGTCTCACAATCGAAGCGCAGGAAACGGAATGGCTATAGCTTAACTTGTTATAAAATGGCACAAGAATGACTTACAACTGCTCAAAAAATGAAACCTGAGAAAATGGCGCTAAAAAAAATTGGAGCTAGAAGCTGATAAAATTGGACTCTGAAGGAAGCTGGCTTTATTTTTTATTTTAGAAATGCATCTTTGTGGCTATTTTGAGCTCCAATCTGTCTTCTTTATGGTGATGCCAATATGGTAGCACTTTGCCAAGGGAAAGCTTGAAATTTGCATTTTGCTATGCCCAATTTTCACATAGCGTTTAACGACAGCCCACCAGTAAAATGCTTGTTTCTCAATTTGTACTACTTATTTTTATTTGAAATCGCACTGTGATGTAAAACATTGTCTCAGGATTACAGAAAAAAAAATAATTGAAAAACTGAACATTTTGACCAAATTTACAATTCTCATTGCCACGTCCCCCCTTTAATAGCGAAAGATGGCATGGGGAAAGAAGGTATGCCACGTGCGCCTTGTGGACAAGTGCCGACCTTTCATGGCAGCCCCAGTGACTCCCGAACGCGTCATACTCAAATTAACCGGTGACGTGATCCTTTGGAGTATGATACGATGATGTTTTAGTAAATAGCATCAATTGTGAAAAGATGAGAACGTGATTTTTAGGCGACTGAGAAATTATTGCAAATTCCAGGCCGCGTGCTGCGCTATAATACTTGGTTCACGTTTTCTCGGGAGCATCGACTACTGATTGGCAGCGTTTTCTGACCATGCTCAAAAAGTGTTGCAGGGCCCTTTTAACAATGCAAACGTACTTGCAGGGAGGAAATATTTGGCCCTGTCCAGAGTATCTTCAAGTTCCAAGACATAAACGAGGTCATCGAGAGAGCAAACGCCACCAACTACGGACTGGCAGCGGGAATCATTACCAAGGACCTCAACACGGCCACCATTGTAGCTCATGCTCTTGAAGCAGGCACTGTCTGGTATGTGGTTGAGCTCCTTAGTGAAGTAGTGCGTGCATCATAGGTTCATCGCTCAGGGAAATACACTTTTCTGTACATATACACTACATACCACCAGAGTGTCGGAGTAAAAGGAAGCTAAGCTAGTTGATTGGTATTCATGTTAACGAGACAGGGCGTGTACAAGTACGAATACAAAAAATAAGTTATGACACCACAGACGCCGACTAACAACTGCATAAGGCACACAGTGGCAGAAAAAGTGACTGACACAAAAACTTGCCTGTGCATTGCCTGGCAAGAGGCAAACTTATCGATCATGCAGGCATGCTTGATGATCTAGGTGAGAGCTCACTGTGAACATACTTGATTACTTCTTGATGCAAGTTCATGTATGCTTGGCTCACGCATGCACTGCCACTATGTCGATGTGCCAGGCCTGAACCATTGGACGTGCTTCTTTATTTCTACACATGTACCAAATCGTGCATTCATCGAATTGCGGGGTACATTTACACTTAAAACAATGCAAAATTGATTAGACGGTGATCCCGTAGTTAGTGATCTTTCATGATTTCTTGATTTCTGGTTAGCACAGGGACCCGTCCGTCCTACATAAAACCGGCCACAGCTAAACAATCTCATACACCACACTCGTCCAGTGCACTTCTTTTCTATAGCCGTCTCATGCTTTGTAGGATGACACGTATCTCACCTAGCTGATAAGCAACTGTAAAAACAGTATTAACGCCGTATCTACCGCCCACTTCTTTCACTTGAGAGATACGCAATAAATGTAAAAAATGCCTACGACACGATTGTATAGCATGTATAGATGTTTTGTTGAGCATGCTCGTGCTCAACAAAATGCACTTCTACAAATGACAATCATAAGCCATCTTCCACGTACCCAAAAACCGTAATGAGCCTATGGTGCTTCTAAGCGTTAGATGCATAGAAAAATAATAAAGACAAGATCATGGAGTGGCTGATATCTGCTCCTATGGGTGCCACCACACTACCAGCTGATCTTATTTAATTGTCCTGTACGGAGGCAACCTGCAAAGGCATGAGTACAAACAGAAAGAATTGCAGAATGATCACTGATAAACGTAAACTCGTGCATTGTGGTCATGTCTTCAGGGATGAAGTTACAGCAAAATACACATAGATCGTAATGTTGACCGAACAGTGAGAGTGCGACGCTTATTGCAGCGATGGGCTCAAGCGATTCCGCTTGCCAAATTCCTCACAAGAAACACAATGTCACGACGTAGCAGCTTTACAACTCGCCGATTGGCAGAAATGCGATACACAACACAGCCAGGGCAATAGACGTCAGACTCTATAGTTTTGCAGACACGCAGTGCCACCTGTCGAATTTGTCTAATATTTGTACTTCAGACTTCATTTGTGTTCGCGTGGCTTGGAGATTTTTCGTCACGAAACGAAAATCTGTAAATGTTTAGCGGTTGTGCTTCGCCACAATAATATTTTAGGCTTACCATTTCAAATCGGAGAACGAAGTTCAAAAGGGTTCTTTGTTTCGAAACAGAATTGAAACACAGCAGTAAATGGAGCCACAAGTGCGATTCGCCATCCGCAAGTACGAAGACTAGGCAAAGTCATGTGCTACCCATCATTTTCATGGTCGCTGAACGATTGCAGCGCCAGAGTTCTCTTTAAGTAATGTTAGAAAACTCCATTGTTTCGACCCGTGGACTAGTCTTCCTCAAGGCTAGAGCAGAACTTTTGTTCAAGCCTTGAGGAAGACAAGTGCGCTTGTCAAATCAAATTGTGAGATAACCTGTGGAAGAACGACATGACGGCAACTTTTCTCGCTTTATTCTTTGAGGCTGACTCAGTTGATGGCGTCTGGCGATGGTTCCTGAGAAAAGCTTCAGCAACAGAGGATTGAACACTCAAAGGATAACCTGCTTCAGATAGCCAGTCGAACTGGCGTTCAAAACTAATTGCAACTTCATGTTCACATGACTTGGTCAGAGCATTAGGTTGACTATAGATCTGTTTACTAGTTTGGAGTTGGCCGAGTTGTATGGCAAGACCAGCTTATTGCATTGAGGTTGATAGCACCAACAAACATTATTTGGGTGAAAACGAAAAGTTATGTCAACTAACATTTTTTTGCACGCATCTAATTCAGTTATTGCCCAGAGCTTGAAGTATACCATGGCAACCAGCGTATCGGGAACGATTGTATATCTAAACAATTGTGCAGGATCAACACTTACTTCGAAATTGGACCTCACACTCCTTTTGGAGGCTACAAGATGTCTGGAATAGGCCGTGAAATGTAAGTTTAACATCAGCTTTGTTTGCGTTAATGAGCTAACGAGATAGGCAATGCTCTGCAGGTGTTTTATTGGTATCAGATAACTTTCGCAACTGACTTCTGTTCTTTCTTTTTGTTTGTTTATTTTAGTGCATTCCAAATAAGCTGGCGATACTTTAGTGCATTCGGTCGATCGCTTCATCTATAATTGTATATTCCTGCAAACACGCGAGTGGCCTTGGAGTCTGGCAACACTGGGGCACTCGCGAGCCGTGACATAACAATTAAGCAGCTATCTCTCAAATTAAGCATCTACCATGACATAAGAGCGACCTGAAATTGAGATACTCTAGCTTTAATTTCCTCAGCATTGCACTGAAATTGAGCCATTTGCAGTGGCTGAAATTTTCGTCGAATACAGTACGACGAATACGCTCCTCATTTCTCGCACATGGCGTCAACCGCACCATGGCAGAATGGCCGTCGCCTGCCTTGGCCGGAGTTTAGAACCGGGGACTTCCACGGATTGTTGTGCACTAAAACATTTCTTTGCCCCCTACTTCTTTGATTTGTAAAGTCCTAATGGACCCTCTACTTTTCGTTCTCACTGAAAACCATAAATAATTAGATGACCGTGTCGTGTTACCTTCAAAACGCCTTTTCGGATGCCAGTGGTGGTTTCGCATGCACACCGTGAATTTTCTGCGATGTCGGCCGTACTCACTTTTTTGTGGAGCGTCTCAAGGAACCTCTGTCTATGTCAACCAGTTGCGATGTTGCGAGGTGCTGGAAGCTCAGACGAGCACTCACGCTAACTTTAAAACCAAATTAATATATCCCAAAGGCATCGTTGGTTACTCGTAATCAGTCAGAAGTGGCCTCACATACAAGACTTTCAAACAACACAAGAATCTGGAGTTTCTAAGTTTGAGGTCAGGGGTTGTTAAGGGCTTGAGGTCGATGATGGCAGGTACGGCGGGTATCGTTACGGTAGCTGGCTCCCCGCCGTCGTCCACACAGCCGATCTTTGTCAGTGAGGAGACGCGTTATTAGTGATAAAATGAAGGTTTATTTACGTGATGAGAAAGATGGAACTGTACAGAGATTCAGCGAAGATTTTGCACTAGATTCAGTGCTATGTACAAAATATCTGGCTTTTATAGCCCATCGATTCCTTACTCGACAGTCCGAAGAAGGCGGTGACCACTGTTGCCACGAATCAAATGAAGTGAATTCTCAGTGATCCACCCAGCAAATAGGGTGCAGATATTGAACCACTCGGCTGATGTGAAACACGGGTGAAAATGCCCAATGGTAGCATGAGCACATCACACAATGAAGCGCTTGGCCTATGCCTCATAGACATCGAAGGGCGAGGAGGCAGAGTCCGGTGGAGAGGAAAAGTCAAGCTCCTCTGAGGAGAGGATGGCCGCTGACACGAACGTCAGTAGCAATCCATGGCTGCGTTCAGCTACAGCCTTCCAAAAGTTTCTCGAACATGGCAGTCCAGGTGCTCGATCCCCGAGAACTGCTACTGCGATGCCTTCCCTGGCTTCCGGACTGTTGGTCCTTCGTGGCGACCTCGCGTAGGCGACAATGGCTGTGTGGAGAGGTTGACTTCAAGAGAACTGCAATAGTGGCGCCATCGCGCACTGTTCGACCCCACTCCATGAAGGGTTATGCGCAAAGCTTTTGCAGAGTTCCTCGTAACCTGGCCACAGCAAACTGTCTGGCCCACCTGCAGGACAGCGTCGTGCTTTTCGCTTCTGGTGTGCCGATGGGGTTGAAAGCGTTCTATCAGACCGGTTTACGCACAATGGCATCTGCTGAGACAAACTGCTGAGCCAAACGTAACAGGGTCTTCTAATATTTTATGGTACGAGAGGTTCAACTTGTGCGAATGACTACGAATGTGGAAATAAATTTCAAAAGTGCGTCAAGCATTGAAAATGTGTTTTAGAATCTTGCATATTGCCCGCTATTTTGTATATAAATGTACATTGCGTTTCCAGTTTAATGACAAGAGGCATATTCCAGATATCAGTTGGCAAATCTTTAGTTCCTGTGTTCTTTTATCTGCAGGGGCGAAGATGGCATCATGGAGTATACGGAAATTAAAACGGTGAGTGTAAAAGAGCTGTATAGTGTTTAGTGATAAGTGAAATGTGTCGCTACTGCTGCACTTGTGCGAGCATGGCGAAGGAAAAGAGAACAACGAAGCCGAAATAGAAGCTAGTAAACAGGCATTGTCACTGTTCTACATTGTGTTTCTCTGTTTTGAATTGCAATGACGAGGTCGATCAAAACGAAGTCCCATGTCTTTGATTCCTCGTCCATGGCGCCTGTCGAAGTGCTGATGCGGTAAGCGCATCTTGAAGACTGAGTCGAGGCCTCCTCAGTCTGAAGATGTCACGTGAGGTCATCTGGCGCTGATTAACAAAACGTCTGTTAAATATATCAAAGGATGGTAAAAAACAGGCCATTTGTCAAACATTGTGTATTTGGAAAATTAAGAATAAAATAATGGTGGGTCTCGCGCTCTTTCTTTATTGGCGCCAGACTGATGGGGTCGTGTGTTCGAGAGCTCCCGTCGAACGCAGTGCGCAAGCCTCGGTTCAACAGCGGGGTGTTATCATAGCTATATGATTGCGATACATCAAAATGGCGATCAGGAAATACTTGAGTTTACATTTATTTGCGCCTTGACTGCAATTTCATGTGTGCGTTACTGGCGAATATTCTTAAATAATGTCAGTCGCACCTCCGGCACCGTTCTCATCTGCACCTGGTACCCCTCCAGTGCTGTTAAAACGATGGATCGCGCTGGTACTGGTTGGCCTTAGTGATGTCAGGTTGTTTACCAACCAGGAAAACACGGAAAAGTCGGCAAATTTGGACCCTTTTGGAAAAGTCGGGGAATTTCTGAAAAGCCTAGCCAGGTCATGGAAGTCAGACAGCAGTTTAGAAGGTGTGAGAAAAAAAAAACAGTGCATCACTCTTGCTTCTGAGTGTAAACGCAAAAGGATACACCAACCCATAAAACACAAAGCTTACTGATGTTTTAGTACCCGATATGGGAGGGAGCCTTGTTCACAACAAAAGCCATAAAAAAGGCACAGTGTACTTAAGCACGCCTAAATACACGACGTAAGCAGCGAAAGTACATTGTCAGAACCGTCCCATAATTCCTGTTCAGCCTATGTAAAGTGGTCTGTATCTGGAATTCAGGTGCAGGCATGGTACAAGCTTCTTTTAAATGCGGAGCATTTTATAGTCGCACCTACTCGGCAATCAGGCGTCGGCAGTGGTGTCTACACCCCTACTGCGCATGCTCACGTCTCGTACCAACTGTCGCTCCCCCCACTCTCGCCTTGCAAAGCTGACGCAGGCAGCGTCTGCTAGTAAAAACCGACTGCTCGCTCTGCACAACCGTTCACTGACCATCCCGTATATGTAGGCACTAGATCGGGTGTTCGGAATTCAGTCAAGGGTGTCTTTACTTGGCTTTCGCTTAACTTGACGCTTTGCTTAACTCGAGTAGATGCGATGGAAGCAACAGTACCTTTAACCGGTAGTGGGGCACAACCCAACAGAGTCCCACCACTGGTTGAAAGCAACGCTTCTCCTTCATTCAATAAATACTGTCACGGGGTCTCATGACATGGCTGAAGGCAGGAGACTGGATGGTCAGATCAAACTGTTTATTTGGGCGAACCTGTGCCCGGTAAACGGAAAGGCAGGTTACACTAGCACACTTGCACTGATAGCGGCGACTGCAGCGTCGGCCATCGATCAAGTGACGAAGCGTGTCAGCATTTCTACACTCGCCATCGAACATTCTAGCGTTATCGCTAGCGGCGACGTTGATTCTAGAATAATCTGAAATGCTCAAGAAGTGGGCGTAATCTCAACAAAATGATCTACTGCAGTCCTGAAGCTTCTCGAACACTGTATGCGCGGTTTGCGCTGAGAATCGCGTACAGCGTAACGGGGTGATAAGAAAACTTCAAGAAGGAACGCGGCATTGCCCTCTTCTGAAAAAGGCATTGTCCCGATGCCTTTTAACTCAGCACCTCCACCAGATGTAACGAGGTCGCGACGTGGCTGAAGGCAGGAGATTGAATGGTCAGATCAAACTGTTTATTTGAGCGAAGTCGGAGCCATGCGTCGTTTTGTTGCTTCAAATTTGTGTTGTTTAACTCTTTTTTTTTTTAATCACTAGTTTCGCTGATGTGCTGGTTATCACAATTGTGACAGCCCATTGCATAAACAAGATTAAGGAAATTTCAGCTCGGCAACTTGTCCTTCACACTGGCTAAAGCATTCCTTAGCTTCAATTTTGGTACATCCACTATTTTCATATGTTTCTTCTACATATTACATGGCATATCTGACTTTCGAACCACAACTTTACTCAAGTCTGTAAATTTATGCATGTTTGTCTACGCCACGATTTCGGCTTGGCTTGCAGGCCGTCTGGTTTGTCTAGGCTAGAACAGCCATCAGCAGAAGCTTGCCTTGCTACTCACGTTTTTATTAATAATGATATTGTAAAGAAGAGGAAGTACTCCGGCGCAGAGGCAGCAGCATCGAGTGTGCAGCAGCGGCTCGAACTCGGAAATTGCGGCTGGTGCATCGCCTTCCAAGCCTTCCAAGCATCAACCTTCCTGCTTAATAAATCTCCTTTATAATTGGTGAAGCCGTGCCGGGTACCATCCCTTACACCTTCCCGCTACCATCCTGGAACTCCGTTCTCGACGGCTACTTTCTGCTATGCCGGACGCCGATCAGCAGACGCTTCCATCTCTTCCGGCCACCATTCCAGGCAGTGTTCCTCAGCGGGAGCCTCCAATCATCAGTGGAACAGGTGACAACGACGTTGAAGAGTGGCTCTCGACTTTCGAACGGGTGAGCGCTTTAAACAGATGGACGGACGCGGACAAGTTGACACGCGTTTCGTTCTATCTCGCGGGTGTAGCCAGCCTTTGGCTTAGAAACCACCAGGCAGACGTCCGAACGTGGCCGCAATTTAAAACGTCGATTGTAGCAGTCTTCGATCGACCTGCCGTCCGAAAACTTCGTGCCGAGCAACGTTTACGCACACGCGCACTAGAAACGGGTGAAACCTTCACAAGTTACATAGAGGACGTCGTCGATTTGTGCAGACGCGTGAACGCCGAAATGACGGAAGCTGAAAAATGTAAGCACATCCTCAAAGGGATTGACGACGACGCTTTTCAAATGCTCTTGGCGAAAAGCCCGACCACTGTTAACGACGTAATTAGCCTCTGCCAAAGCTACGATGAATTGCGGAAGCAGCGAGCTCTGACAAGGCGTCCTCCAGCGCACGATTTGGCATCGCTGTCTAATGTGATCAGTGGTCATGACCACGCGTCACTAATAGCCGAAATAAAAGCATTTGTCCGCGAAGAAGTTGCACGGCAGCTTTCCTTGGTGCCTTTCACACCAGAAGCTACCACAACTTTACCATCGTCTCTACGTGACGTCATTCAAGGAGAGGTCGCCGAGGCCTTACCAGCTGCTCGCGAGCCTAATCTTGTGGCTGCTCCTCTCACCTACGCCGCGGCTGCAGCCATGCCAACTCGCAAGGCGCCTGCGCCTCCGTTCCAGCCTTGTGCGAGCTATCCCCCAGCTCCAGTTCACTGGACCAGCACTAACACCACCAACCCGTGGCGCACCCTCGATAATCGCCCGATGATATGTTACGCTTGTCGATACCCCGGACACGTCGGAAGGTATTGCCGCCGCCGGACGCATATCACCAATGAAAACCGCCGTGAGCCTTTCTTCCCGCTTGACTCCAACGCGCGATACGGTTCCTCCACTCCAATGCCAGCCCGCTACAAGGACGACCACCGCCCTCGGCCGGGACGTCTGCGCTCGCCCTCTCCACGCCGCCGCTCGCCTTCTCCTATGCGTCGACGGCCCGCACCTAACGAGGAGGAAAACTAGACGACGCAGTTCCTGAGGCAAGAACTGCGCAAGTTTCGGTTTGCCCAAGTCCTCATTTGTCACCTACCAATGTTATTGATGTGTTCGTCGAAAATATCCCTACTGTCGCTCTTGTAGATACCGGTGCAGCTGTTTCGGTTATAGATGCTGAATTTTGTCGCTCAATTCGTAAGGTTACGACGCCTTTCTCCGGATTATCGCTTCGCACAGCCAGTGCTCAACCTGTTCAACTGACCGCAGTATGTACAGCCCGCGTGACGATTCAGGACGTTCTGTATACGATAGAGTTCGTGGTTCTTTCATCATGCTCCCATAATATTATTTTAGGATGGGACTTTTTGTCACGTCATAACGCCGTAATCGACTGTGCTAGGGCTGAGGTCGAATTTTGCTCACTGGATGACCAAGCGTCCATCGACACCCAGTTTGCCGCTAAACTTGTCGTTAGCGATGACACCTACATCCCTCCATGCTCTTTTGCGTTCGTGCCAGTTTCATGCAGCGCCATATCCGACGGCACGGTCTTTTTCACACCATCTCCAATATTCGTCGCCCGAAGAGCCGTCCCCCTGCCTTTTGCTGCTCTCGATCTTGTAGAAGGGTCAACCACAATGCCAATTTATAATCATGAGTCGTCGTCTTTATCCCTACTTTGTCATGAGTGCCTTGGCCACGTCGAAACAATCAGTTCTTCCAGAATTATATCCGTCCCCGATGAGATGCCTTCTACCTCCGTCTGTGAACTGGCTGTCGTCTCAGCGCCTGACTCAACATCGGCAAACATATTTCAACCATTCATCGCTGCAGATTTGACATCTTCGCAGCGTTCACAACTCCTCACCATTCTTGAGAGCTACCGCCCCTCTTTCGACGTTGAACAAACATCTCTTGGCCGTGCCTTAGCAGTAGAACACCACATCGACACTGGGTCCCACTCACCGCTGCGACAACGACCATATCGCGTGTCCGCTACAGAACGCCGCGTCATTGCTGACCAAGTAGACGACATGCTTCGCAGAGGCGTCATTCGACCTTCACAGAGCCCATGGGCGTCTCCAGTGGTTCTCGTCAAAAAGAAAGACGGCTCTATTTGTTTCTGTGTCGATTTCCGGCGATTGAACAAGATCACGCTGAAGGATGTCTATCCAC